AGGCAATCTGCCTGCCTTGGCCTCCCAAAGTTGTGGTATTACAGGTGTGAGCCACCGCCCCCAGCCTTGTTTTTACATATTAAAAATACCCCATCTAGGGGGAAAGACAGAAAAGAAAAGAAGTATTGAGAATGTTATAAGCTAAAATATATGCAAGTTAAGGGTTTTATGGATAAGAAATGAGAAATAGCATCCAATTAGAAGTCCGCAAACTTTCCGTGAAAGGCAGGTGGTAAATATTTTATACTTCATGAACCAGGCAGTCTGTGTTGCAAATACTCAACTCAATCCATAAAAAATGTCCATGGACAAAATACAAATGAGAGTGTGACCACCTTCCGTGAGACATCGTCTTAATATGGGCATTGGAAGCAAATGTAAGAGATGCTTTCAGACGCTGGAGTTGAAAGGACAGCAGAAATCATGGCAGTGAAGCTCTTCAGAATCTGAAGGATGGAATAAATCTACTAAGCAGTTCACTTTGATGGCATATGCTCTCCATTTTTCATAAAGGACCTTTCCTGGGAACTTGTACCACTTCAGTATCACCCAGACCTCTGTACAGAGCCTCAGAGGAGAAGCTTCAAGCACAGGTTTTACAGAGCATGATGGACCCTTTAGCCTGGGAGAGCCTTGGGAAGGGATCAGAAACTTGAAGGGAAAAAGCAAGGCTCAGAAGTCAACACACAGTGTGCCAGCATTTCTAGAACGTTCCACTTAGGCCTGACTAAGCAATTTACTGTTTGGGGATACATACATGTTACAACTTTTTTTTTTTTTTTTTTTTTTTGAGGAAAGGTCTCACTTTGTTGCCCAGGATGGAGTAGAGTGGTGAGATCATGACTCACTGTAACCTCAGCCTCCAGGGCTTAAGCCATCTTCCTACCTCAGCCTCCTAGTAGCCAGGACCACAGGCAGACACCACCACGGCCAGCTAATTGTTTCGTCTTTGTGTAGAGACAGTGTCTCACGATGTTGCCCAGGCTGGTCTCAAACTCCTGGGCTCAAGCACTCCTCCCCCATTGACCTTCCAAAGTGCTGAGATGACAGGTGCAAGCCACTGAGCCTGGCCAAGAAATCCATTTTAAGTGAAGGAAAATGAGAAGCAAGTTTCAGGTGGGGGAGCAGCTAGAGGCAGCCACAGGAACAACTCGCAGTGGGTGTTGGGCAGCAGGCTGAGTCGCTGTCTGGCTCCACTGGGCTGTGTGATATGCATGCACTTCATGTATGCCTTAGGGGACATTCAAAAGAACACAGTGCCACATGAAGCCTAACTCGGCGAGCCCTTTCCGTAAGAGAAATACCACCCTTGTTCTTGCCCATTTTCTTTCTTCCTGCTCTGGCAGCCTCTGCACACAGATGTCCTCCAGGAGGCCAGGTGGGCACCAAGGTCCTTGAAAAGAAAGAAAAGGGAAGCACAGCGTTCCACAGCTGGTTCCCGAGAAGACAGCAAAACAGCGGTGCACTCATTCTGAAGGACGGCAGACAAGACGGTGCCAAGTCACATGAACTGGTTTTTCTTGATGAGTGATGGGTTTTCGACCCGTTCCTGCTGCCCCGTCTGGGGAAACCTCCTGGACAGCCCGAGGCTGTGTCAGTGTCACGGGCTGAATTGTGTTCCCCGAAATTCCAAGACTGAAGTCTTAACCAGGATCTCAAGATGTGACCTTTTTCAGACATAGGGCCTTTACACAGGTAATTAAGGTAAATAAAATGAGGCATTACGGTGGGCCTTAATTCAATGATTGGTGTCCTTATAACAACAGGAGATTGGGACACAGGCTCACACACAAATCCCTAGGGAAGAGGGAGAAGACACCCACCTACCATCCAACAAGAGGGGAGAAACCAAACCTGCCAACACCTTGGTATCTGCCTTGCCATCTCCAGGACATCGAGGAAATGAATTTCTGAGAGTTTGGCCACCCAGCCTGCGGCACCTGCTGTGGAAGCCTCCGAAAACAGACTGTCTGCCCTCATCTCCACCTCCAGCAGTCTGGGGGCAGACCCAAGCAGGGGATAAAGCAGGCTGGGTTTGGAATTCACTCCCACACTCCTTATAAGGTAGTTACTACTTAACCTTTGCTGCATTGCTTCAGCTTTCCCTGCCTCCGTTTTCTCACCGGTAAAGTTGGGATGCTACCGCGTTCCTCCTGAGAGCTTTGGTGAAGACTGAGCTCATCTGAAGTTTAGAACAATGCCTGACACGGAGAAGCACTCACTAATGTTGTTGGCTACTATTACTATTTTCAATAGGAAAATTTGATTCATTAAGCAATTATTTATTGAGCATCTGCTATGCCCTAGAGACAAACAAACTTAGAAGACACTCATCAGGTTTCGTTGAATGGACCTAGCCGCAGGTACTATGTGGCCTGGAGGGGACCCGTCAGCATCCTTCTGGCTCCAGGAGCACCTCCTACTGCTGTACCCCAAGGGCCTGGACGGTTGCTGGTGTACATTAGGCACTCAACACCTGCGCAGTGAAAGGAAGACAGAAGGCTGATCCCTGTTGGCTCAGTCCAGCCCTTTCCTTGCTACCATTCAGACAGAGCTCGGAGCCTCCCTCTTGCAGAGCTGGGCAGGGCCAGGGCTGCTCTCACTTCTCTGCGACCTCTGCCCCATCCTAGGTTCCCAGCTTCAGTGGTCCCTGGAGCCCACTCGCAGATGTCCTCTTCCTCACACAAAGATCCTGAAAGGCAGCCGCAGTTCCCACAGCCCACTCCTGGCCTTTGCTACATCCATTCATCCATTTAACTCACTTTTTCTTTATGGGGAAAATGGGCTCTGTGCTTCAGCTGAGGGTTGGCTACATGCCTGCATGAACCCATGGAGTGAGGCCACATGCACAGCAGCCCTGCAGACTCCAGAGCTGAATGCTCCTGAGGGCAGTGCAAAGCCTGGTGGAAGCAAAGAGGGGGAGGGTCTGCCTGACACTAAGGTATTAGGAAGATCTGTGCCCCTTCCCCCCAAGGTAATGTTTCACTTGGGCTTTGAAGAGGGTATCTGAGTTTGACGATGCTGAAGGACTCAAGGCCAGGGAAGTCTGAGAAAGCACGGCGTGTTCTTGCAGGGGGTTGGAGAGGGAGATTGAATGAGCCAGGTCTGCAGGAGTTGTGGTTGCTGTGTCTGCCAGGTCTGCAGAGGTGGTACTGTCTGGGATCTCGAATCTGATCAAACTGACAGGCAAGTGTGTGTAGATTAATCTTTCTTTTTTTTTTTTTGAGATGGAGTTTCGCTCCTGTTGCCCAGGCTGGAGTGCAATGGCACGATCTGGGCTCACTGCAACCTCTGCCTCCTGGGTTCAAGTGATTCTCCTGCCTCAGCCTCCCGAGTAGCTGGTATTGCAGGCATGCACCACCACGCCTGGCTGATTTTGTATTTTTAGTAGAGATGGAGTTTCTCCATGTTGGTCAGGCTGGTCTCAAACTCCTGACCTCAGGTGACCTGGCTGCCTCAGCCTCCCAAAGCACTGGGATTACAGGCATGAGCTACCGTGCCCGACCGTGTAGATTAATCTTTAATCAATTAAATCTTTACACCCTAGGAAAGTTGGCTGGCATTTGAAAGACTCTAATCAAGGCGTCCACCTTCCTGGGTGGCTGGTGAGCTCGCATTTAGAAGATCCTAAGCAGACTCCTCCTCAGAGACACCTCTACAAGCCCTTTTCAGCCACTGCCTTCCTATTTACTCTAGAGAGTCTGCTAATTTGCATGTCAGAAATACTTTTCCACTGGTGACATGATGATACTGTTCCAGAGGACTGCATCGTGTCCCCAGGGGCTGGGAACATGCTCAGGCACCTCCAACCCTTATAGAAACAGAGAAGAAGGACTAGGTGAGGCTGCCACCATGGAGGGGCCAGGGGTCCTACAGGGCCTGTGTACCCCCAATAGGGGAGGCTGACCCCAGCTGTAACTAGGTTAGCTCATCTGCCACCACAATGCTGCAACCTCCTTGAGTGAGCCTTTTTTTATTTTTATTTTTTTTGAGACAAAGTCTCACTCTGTCACCCAGGCTGGAGTGCAATGGTGTGATCTCAGCTCACCGCAGTCTCCACCTCCCAGGTTCAAGGATTGTCCTGCCTCAGCCCCCCAAGCAGCTGGGATTACAGATATGCACCATCACGCCCAGCTTTTTTGTATTTTTAGTAGAGACAGGGTTTCACCATGTTGGCCAGGCTGGTCTCAAACTCCTGACCTCAGACCTCAAGTGATCCATCCGCCTTGGCCTCCCAAAGTGCTGGGATTACAGGCATGAGCCACCACGCCCGGCCGAGTGAGCCTTCTTGCACAGTACATGGTAGGGCCACTGCAGGACCGAGCCAGCAGGTCAGCTTTATAGAACCAGTACATACTGCTGAGGTCTTGCTCACTAGAAAGTGTCGTGGCCCTCAGCCATTGGCCCCGGTACTCATCACAAAGGGACTCATGGTTGGGAATGACCAATATGGCTTGTGTCCTTGTGGGCCAGTCAGGGAAGGGCTGTGCCACAAGGCTGAGAGCAATGTCCCACCTTCAGCCAAGCTGGCCCAAGGCCCCCAGTCTCCACACAGGGAAACCTGAAGAACGAGTCCCTTGGAGTAAGCAATCCAGAGGACTGCAGCGGGACTAGGTCTGCCTTTGCAGTTAACCGTATTTGATTACAGTCCTGCAGAGTTCATAACCGCACTGTCTGAATAATAATCACAGCTGCTGCCACGAACTGCACTCTTACTATTCCAGGAACGGCTCAGATTTTTCACAGACTTTTAAAAGTGTGATTCTTGAAGGTTTAGGTCATTCTGAAATTTGTTATGCCAATGGAAAAAAAAAAATGAACAAGAAAAGAAAAACATCTTTTTTTTCTCATGAACCGTACCTTCATTGTACCTGAATGTCATGTAGGAACTGGTTGGAGACTGAATTCCCTTAAAGTGCAAGTGATGTTTGAGACATTCTGCTGGAATGGAGAACTGACCTTCAGGTTGAGGCAGCATTTCCACAGTTCCTCCTGGCCCTAATTAATGACGCACAGATGGTCCAAAGGGTTCATTCAGCAGGAGAACCTCAGGCCTAGCAGCCAGTGCGAGCCCTGCAGCAGGTAAGGGCGGGGGTCTGTTCTGCTTTCTTTCTGCTGCCAATCCAGCACTTTACATTCTAAAGAAGAATGCCAATTTCTTTTCTTTTTTTTTTTTTTTTTGGGACAGAGTTTCGCTCCTGTTGCCCAGGCTGGAGTGCAATGG